CTAAAACGCATACCCGAAAATAGACTATTTTCACTAGTTTCACATTTTTAACATAATCTCGTATCGGGCCAATCTATATATAAATGATATGAATGAGCTGTTATAGTGGTGTGCAGAATCTACTAACTTAGTACTTTAGGGTCATATATAAATTTCCAATTATGACTTGCAGTAATTAAAAAAGGTCATTTCCTCAAAATGATGAAAAATCATGAAAATGGTCATTATAGACAATAAGATGATATTTTGTAGTCTCAAAAAAACTATGATACCGATCGAAAATCCGTAGGATTTTTTCGCTAAAAGTCTTAGAGTGGTGAGGCGTCCAGTTGCTGAAAGTTTCAGATTGATCGGAGATACTTTTGCATAACGTGAAAGATTTCTAATGAAACTATCCCTCCTTCTCTCCTGTCACAGCGAGAGAAAGAAAGCGAATCATATATTTATTCGTTTTAGATGAAAACTTATTTTTCTTCTTCGTCTTCTTCTTATGGCGTCGAAGAAGAAGAAATGACAAAAAAGAGAAAAGGTAACGTCATCATTTCAGCACCTGCGGCGTCGACATAATATCCGAAGAAGCCGTATGTTATTAAATTTTTGTAAGACATTATTCTCTGAGTGATGGCTGATGGGCAATAAAGTTTCTTGTAAGAAGAGGTTCACAATGTGGTCTGTTCTACTTTGACTACACATATTTAAATATAGGTTAACTCAAGAGAAGAACGTCTTGCACAACAACCTTGAAATCTTTAGTTATCTCTCTCTCACTCACTTTCTAGAGTGTTGTTATCTTACCTTTGCAGAAGAAGATGGAGCAAAAAGCCACATCATTGTGATGACAAAAGTAATTGCATTATCAACCAACGGCGCAATTAGAAAACAAACACCTAGAGAAAAAGTGTAGAACTATAATTTCTTATTTGTTATATCAATCGTTTTACTATTGTTCTCGTGGGGAAGACAGGAACTCTAAATTCACGGCGCTTCTTCATTTACCACAAAATTCCATGGCTTATAAGGAGCATGGATTGACTTTTGCAGACTGCTACTTACTTTTTGCTTAATGAACATTCTTAATTCATATCAAGTCTGAGAAAGTGTTGAGATTTTAAAAAATGGTATTAGTTGAGTTTTTACATCAGCTCTGTCAATTTTTAATACCTTTCTTGAAATGAACCAATATCCTCGTTACTTGGAAAGTTTAAGCGTTTCAGTGAGCATGGTATGTATCTTGTTGAATATTGGAAAAATATCTGATCTCTATCGATCTCCAGTTGGATAGTTTGATTTAGCTTAAAAACCGACGATGAAAAGCTTCTAGAAGTAACTTGTGGTAGGTGCGGGTGCGTATATGAGTCTTCTATCTATACATAATGATACCCTCACACCCAAACCTACACCCATCTAAAGCACTTTCTCAAAGCCGTAAAAAACAATTTTTGACTTGAAAGTTCATCAAACTTGAATTTTGAATCAATCTAAACAGGCTCATGTCATGCAGATTTTTTTCTTTCTCAGAATCTAGGGTATGGGTGCGGGGTTTGGTGTCTGGATGAGGGTGGGTTTGAGGGTGTGGATGTTGGTGTGCGATGTGCGGGTAGATGCAAGTATGGGTTAAACGTAACGAGACTATCATCAAGCAGGATATCCACGCCTCCCCCCACTCCCATAACCACACCCACAGCCCCACCCCACACCCACCACCCACACCCACACCCACACCCACACCCACACCCACACCCACACCCACACCCACACCCACACCCACACCCACACCCACCCCCTCATTACAAGGACCTTCGTTGATTTGTCACTTCTTCGATATAAATGCAGCAACTTTGTATGCAAGTAGAAGGGTGTGACTGTGAATAGATCATTCGAAGACAAACATCTACACCTAAACTAATCTAATAAAATCCCAATCACATTCATATTTTGGAATCTTGAAAACAGGGTGCATTTCTGGTTATAGTGCATTTTACCCTGACCAACACCCATCTACACCCGCATCCAACCCTCATGCTGAAAAAACGAACAATCTTACAGCATATCTCGTGAACTCGAATAAGATTTTCTTTCAATCATACTCATTTCGTATCTGGTGTCTTCAAGAAAAGCTTACTTTTAACGTCATCCTTACTTCAAGTGTAAGTGGTGTACTGTAGAAAGGTCGACAGGGAAAAATGCCGAAAACAAGATTTGACATGAAAAAATATCACAATTAGAAGCAAACAAAATAGTGGTGTCTGCAGTAAATGCTGGCTCTAAATAAGAATAATTCACGTTTTCTTTTCCTATCATTCTACTAGTCTAGATTGTCCACCACTAGTTATAGTAATGATTAATACTTGATATAGATTAAGTGAACGAACCCATCAAAGAGTAATTATATAACTAAAGTTTTACTGCTATGGCTGCATCTTCAACGGAAGAAACTCGACCAAAGTCACCAGCTTTTTCATTTATTAATTTCCAAAAAGAAAAACTTTTGCCAATAGCAAATGAATATATTTTCAAATTAAATAAAACAAAAACAACAACTACTACTAAATGTTGGAAATGTACACTTAATGGTTGTTCCGATAAAGTTCATACAGATTTAGATGGTAAATTAACTAAAATAATTGATGACCATAGTGTTAGCTTGTTTCGACGAGCTTTAAGATTGTTTATTTTATTATCTTCTATTCCAATGTCCCTAACATCTTGCACATATATATATATCGATGAGAGGAGAAAGAGATGGGAAAATATCAAGGGTCAGGAATGAAGATGAATCATCGCTAATCTTCCTTTCCTTTCATATTAGGTGTGTGTTCCCACACATCATCATTGAATTTATCAATTCGTTTGATGATTACGTTCAAATGATTCATAATTTGAAATTTTCGTTTTATATCAATATTAGCATATAGTCATAATTAAGTTTTTGTAATTTATTCATGAAGATCAATTAAATATTTAATATTTCCATTAATTGAGGAAAAATTCAATAATAACCATGGTAGTCAATTGTAAATCAATTTATAAATAATTGAGATCATTGATGATAATAATTAAAGTAACCTTGATTTATATTGTTCAGGCTTTGCATCAATATTGAATGATTTTTATATTAAAAACTTTGTGAGTCTTTTATGAATCTCGTACAAGAAGGACTTGGGATCAGTTTAATCGTAAACGATGAGATGATAACACTATACTTCTAAGTTTCATGCATTTGATACGATATTAGGCGTGAGTGTGGATCCTCTCTTTACACCCAACTTCACCTACATCTACACACCAACACACACCCATACCCACACTCATTGAATGCACAGGATGGAGTGTGGGTTTAGGTGTAGGTGTTGATTCATCTTATCTTGATTCGACCCCACATTCCCACAATCGGAACTTCCATCTAAGCAGAAACAAAAGTAAGTTCTCTGTTTCCCGAAATTCTTCGTTGCTTTTGAGATACTGGCTATACTATATCAAAATCGGTGTAGTTTGAAGTAAAATCGGGAATATCATGATAAGATTTTTCGAAGGCATGGATGTCAGTGTTGATGTGACTGTGGGTTTGAAGACCAGATCAATGTCTGACCCTGGATCAGGTGATGGGGGGGATTAGGAATGAGGAAAGATAAGATCCGCATCGACATCCACAACTCACATTCACACCCCAGTGATATTTCGTAAATTCCGTTTTAAAACAGACAAATTTGAAGTAAATCAACAATGCTAGCTGTGGGTGAGCGTCTTTTTCACTGGTGACCATATGCATCCACACCCCAAGCCCTCACACTCAAAGTTTATTGTCACTTTCAAATTAGTTCACTAATAATTATTGTAAAGTATTTTGAGCAAGCATTTTATAATAAGCTCCACGTAGTTGGGTCAATTCTGTATGAGTACCACTCTCTACTATATGTCCCCTATCAAGCACACAAATCAAATCACATGAACGAATAGTTGAAAGACGATGAGCAATAATGATTGATGTTCGACTAGAATCTTGTGTTTGAATCTGTTCAAGAGCTTCTTGCACAATCTATAATTCAAAAGTAAAGACAATAATTTCATTGAAAAACAAAAAAAAGTAAACATACTTGTTCATTATGCGAATCCATGGCACTTGTAGCTTCATCTAAGATCAATACTCTAGGTCGACGAACAAGAACTCGCGCAATAGCGATACGCTGCTTCTCACCACCCGATAGAAAATTGCCTTTCAACCCTACTTTGGTTTCATAACCCTAAAACAAAATGCCATTAAATAATACTCAATAGATTATATAATATTATATTGTTTAACCTGAGGCAATTGCTCAATTAATTGATGGATATTAGCTTTACGCGCCGCGTTGATAATATCTTCCATTGGAACATTTTCTAAACCGTATGCTATATTTTCACGAATCGTTAAGTCGAACAAAATTGGCTCTTGACTGACAAGACCAAAATGGGAACGAACCGAATGAAGATTTAATTGTCGAATATCAATGCCATCAAGAAACTAGATTGAGTGGAAAAATTTTATATGATTACTGAAATTATATGCAGAAGAATACTAACTATTTGCCCACTTGTAACATCATAGAATCTTTCTAAAAGTTGAATAACTGTTGACTTTCCACATCCAGACGCACCTACAGGGATCATATTAAGTAAATAGAATTTAAAAGAAAAATTTCATTCAAACATACCAACAAGAGCCACACGTTTACCTTATCGATGAATAAAAGTTTTCTAAAACCGGTTAGATCAAAATTGATATCACTTACTTGGTTTGATAATTAGTTGAAATTTGTTAAGAATTATAGATGTTGGTCGAGTCGGATAGATAAATTTCACTTGATCAAATTTTATCTCGCCACGAAAATCAACCTACACAAATCGTCGCATATGGATGGCATGAGCATAATTGTAATAAACAATAGTTATCATGTGTGTTCTCTTACCAATTCTTGTCCTTCTGTAGATGTATTGTCGATAGTTGGATTTCGATCAAACAAATCAAAAAATGTTTTAGCAGCTGAGACTGATGCAGCAAGGCGTCTAGATCTACAGTGGAAGTAGTAGAAGAGAAAGCAAGGTAGTAATTGAGAGTATTTACATCACTCCGATGAGTTTCAGTGCTTGCAATGAAAAAATAGCAAAACCGAAGACCCTAATAAATTAAACAGATTATAAACCATTATTTCTAAATTATCAATGTGTAATTTCAATTACATGACAATACGGTTCGATGTAAGTTCGTTCTTTTCAACAAGGATAAGAGCACGCCAATACAAAAATGCCATAGTGTATGCATCGACTATGAAGAATAGACCGAATGCAATTGAATGCACTATCATGTGCTTCCAAGATAACCTATGACAAAACAAGACCGATTAATGCTTCATACATGTCTAAAATTGGATTTACTAACATAAATACTTGATGAATAAGTTCAGAATATTGTCGTAATACTTCCTTTTCTATTGACAACTGTTTTATAGTACGCATATTATGAATAACTTCAACAGCAAGCTGCAGAAGTAAAATACAAAATGAACATGCTGTAAATGATTTATCGAGCACGTCGTTGTAAATTAATTTTTTCAAGGAAAAAAAACTATTATAAGGTAAAATATTAACTCACTGTACTTGCTCTTTCAAGAATTTGGCCAGATTTTTTATGCTGTAATATATTTAAGGACACGTCTACATAGATGACTGAGAATAGGAGAAAAACAGGACCAAAAACGATCAGTGTCAATGACCAACTTATCAAACATCCAAATACAATTCCAAAAAATAATAATGCAATCGCTTCACAGATAACTCCTAGCCGTGAACCAGACAGATCTTGGACAGCTGATGCATCAGAAGACAGACGAGTACTGATTGAACCAGAACTATTTTCAGGTCGATCGAAATAAGCAACTTCTTGACGAAGTAGACATGCAAAAGCTTTCGAACGAATACGTTGCGTCAATTTCGATCCAGCTATGGCAAAAGCTATATGCTACAGAAAAGAATGAATGTATCAGTGTTGAAATGCATCAGCAGTTTTTCTACCTGAAACAGGCGAAGAATCAATAAAACAACGCCCAGAAGCAAAAACTGAAGACTGGCAATCAACACTTGATGACGTCGCTCAGACACGGAACAATATTTGAATGCCTAAACAATAAAAAAAATTGAAATAAGACGACATCTATTACTGATATTTTTTCACGATGTTTATATGGGTGTATTACTCACGTCGACGACTTTGGCAAGTAGGAATGCAAACAATGACTGAGCTCCGCCAATTAGTACACATACTGTACATCCAATCAAAATGGTGATCCACTCAGGACTATTCATTGACAAGAGTCTTAAAAAGACAAGTCTGTGTCGGAGTGGCTTCCAGTTTTGCTTCAAGACAGATTATTAATAATTGTTTTTATAAATTATTGCAATAGTATGTATACTTACTTTGTTCTCATCAGCATTTTTATTATCGCTAAGTAAACTAGAGTGTTCAACTGTTATAAAGAAAAGACGAAGAAAAGTGAAGAGTATTATTATTAGAATATTAAAATACATATTGGTTTTTCGCTCTCTTCTTTTGCTTTTCGTATGCTCATCATATCATTTTTATCATCATTGACAGTTTCCATTTGTTGACGTTTGACCATTGCTTGATATTTTCCTCTTTCTTTTGTCATTAATGTTTCATGTGTACCTTGTTCAATCACAGTTCCATTATCTAATACATATATTTGATGAGCATTTTTAATTGTAGTCAAACGATGCGCAATAACAATAGTTGTACGACCTATACATACTGATTTATCAATACGGTCAGCAGAAAGACAAACGATTGTTACCTATGCATGCTTGATCGAGCGCTTCTTGGACAACTTTTTCGCTAACATGATCAAGTGCACTTGTTGCTTCATCCAGTAAAAGGATAGTAGGCTGCTTGACAAGAGCACGAGCTAATGCAATACGTTGTTTTTCACCACCACTCAACTGTATACCACATTCACCAACGATTGTCTCATATTTCTAAACGAAAAAACGATGTTTCATACATATAGATAAATACGAATATTTTTCACAAACATTTGGTAATTGCATGATAAAATGATGTGCATTTGCATCTTGTGCTGCCTGTTCAATTTCTTTTTGTGTTGCATTTACTTTACCAAAGCGAATATTTTCATAAATACTCATATCAAACAGAATCTATCAATATGGCAAGCACAAATCGCAAGTCAGCAAAGAAAAACGAAAACAAAGCATACAGATTCTTGACTAACAACTCCAATATTCTGTCGAAGTTGGCTGACGTTGAAATCTTTTATTGGTCGACCATCAATTATAATACGACCTGATGAAGGCTCATAGTAACGAACTAACAGTGATATACATGTACTTTTTCCTATGAATAAAATTTGAATACAAAGGAAATCATTCCAACATCGTTGTTTTTCGAAAAAACTTACCACAACCACTTGCACCTACAAGAACAGTTGTTTGACCAACACGAGCAACTAGAGAGAGATTATACAGAGCTGGTGCATCTTTTCGAGATGGATAAACAAAGTTAACATTGTCAAATTCAATATCACCATTGATATTATCAATTGATTTTATATCTTCTCTCCATACACATGTTTCATTGAGAGTTGTATCGTTTTCCTATATCATGCAAACATATAGAGCACGCTACTATCGACATAGGCCCTTAATTTAATTGAAATTACCTCTTCAATAAGACGAAACACAGCTGCTGCAGCACCTCGAGCCGCTGAAAGGGATTGAAAGCAAAGACCAACAGAAGCGTAGAAATTGAAACACCTTGCAAAGCTGCAGACGACCTGTATCAAGACAGTAGTCGCATATTCTCTCTTTATTGAATGACTACATGAGTTACTTACGATAAGAATATCACTAATATTCGAAAAACAATGACATTTTTGTAATATAAGTAGAGAACCAGAGATAAAACCTATTGAATAAGCTAGGTAGACTTGAAGAACAAGCCATCCAGTATAAACACCAGACATGAAACCTTGGCGTATACTACTCCAACGAGTTGGAATCAATTCTCTTTCATATCTACAAACAATAAAAATAAATAAAATATCTTAGCATGTCATATGAATAAACTATTTCTATTTGTTCCTCTACCGTTTTTGTTCATATTTGCTACCATTGAGGGAAAGAACAGTTCGAAGAGAACTAAACACTTCTTGAACGACTTGAGCTGCTTTCGCGTATGTATTCAACTCATTCATTGTTTCGTTGGCAATTATCTGTGACAATTCATATAGATGTAATGCATTGAAAAATATCTCATACCTTAGAAAAGAAAACCGAGCTGACAATGACCAAAAACAACAACGGTATCATGATGAAAGTTAATTTCCAGTTGACAATGAAACATGCTATTAAACAACCAATGGTATTGAAAAATGCTATTAACAGCGTTAAGAATTCGTGACCGATGCCTTTCTCAATCTTTGCAATGTTACTAGGTGAGAATGGAATCAGATCAAGTCATTTGATATAAAATATCACAATGGCTTACTCAAACAGCTTTGAATTGAGTTGACCAATCGGTCTGGTATCCATATAAGAAATGTTCTAAAAATGAAGGGAGACAGAAATAATCAGGGATGAACAAATTCGTCTGACTGTCACTTCAACTCTGTTCATATTTTTCCAATTAAAATTCAAATCCACTTTACATTGTTTAGCAATCCTATTGTAATTCTGACTGTAAAAAGTCATATTCTGTCTGGTTTAACTTTAGAAAGCTCAATTATATTGCATCAATTTCTGTTATCAATGTTTCTTCTGCCGAATTTTTTTATTTTCGCGCGATCATCTTTTCGTTTTCAATAAGTTTTTAGATGCAAATATTAGACAGTATTCTAATGGAAACTCTACAACGATTTCTGTTTTTATTGAGACTTAGTGAAGCTAACGAATTTGTAAAATGTCTATCTACTAGAAACCTTCAAAGATTCCAAGATCTTCTGAAAATTTCTGCCATTGAATTTTTCCTTGAAACTGCCACTATTTTGAAGGTTTTTTAAAGGGTTGATTATATGAAGAGTTTCTATCATGAAGATACAAAACCTGGAAATGCAGAAACTTTTCATACAAGCTACTAGATAGGAAACTTTCAAACGGAGATACTTTCCAGACAGAATTTAGAGGACATGATTTTTTTGACAATCACAGTTCTTTCTTTATAGATCTCTAAAGAATAGATATTAAAAGAATCCAACAGCTCCCTCAAATCTCAAAAGAGAATGAAATTTTTTTTCGAGTTTTTACTAGAATATTATGTATTATCTGTTGAAAAAAAATTATCGAAGCCGGTAGAGAATATTAAGGAAAGTTTTCATGTTAGTTGATTCAATTCTATTGCAATCTCCATAGATAAAAGTGCCTAATTCGAGTTGAAGTGGCACAATTTACAGAAGATTAAGGTTGTTTCTATAGGCATCAACCAGTGAATAAAAAATGCAATTGAAATGACTACAGCTGTTTGTCAATATTTCCCTAGAATGATTTTACAATTATTCCATCTGGACTTCAGTTTTCTACAAATATTGCTAGTTTTACTACTAGTAAAAGTGTACCGATAATGGAGATTGGCTCTTTCATAAATGTGAGACCACTATCTGTTGAAGCGAAAAAATCTTCGAAAGACAAATATGTAAGTATATAAAGTTCATCTAGATATTTAAGTATATTTCGTAAGTTGAATAGAATTGATCATGTGAGGATGATGAACTTTTGTTAAAAAATAAAAAGAGCATTTGACATACACGTCGAACAAGTGATTGAAAGAGAGAAACACTTAAACGATCCATCTGTGGTTTTACACCCATGATCCAAATGAAATCTGAAACCACGGCAGCCAGAAATTCGACAGCACCAGTAACTACATACACAGAGAGAAAAGACCATATCCATTATGACTTATAATCAAACTGTTACGTTCATTTCACTTACTGAATAACCAGTGAACTGTGCGCATCACTTTTTCTCGGATTGAAGGGATTGATATAGCTAATGTTGATAACAAAATTACATCACTATTATTGTGTAGTCTAAGACGACAAAATACCAAAGGACAAGAAAAGACATATATATAGTAACTAATGAAGATTTTTAGGAAACTACTTTTGTGATGAAGCATTATTGAGTATATTGGTCTGAATGCCTTGAGAATATGTACTGTTGTTCTTAATTTGAGTTATTGAGTTTTGATGTTGATAATCACAGCAATCACCATATGCGGCAATAGCAAATAATCCTGTAATTCGACCGAATAAAACTAGGTTGACGATAAAGCAAACCGTGTGCACCAATCTTAAACATATAGCGGTGAACATTAGAACAATATCAATACGATTTGCAAACCAAAACTACAATAAAATTGGATGCATAAATCAACTTGTATTATGCCTAAATATACTTACTAAATGTAGAACACCAACGGGCTTATCTTTGTCACTATTTTTAGTATCATCATCCAATTTGATATATTCATTATTGGTCTTTTTGCTATTAAAACATCTGGGCCAGTTAAAAAAGCTACAAACAGTGATAAATTCATTGTCTTTTCCTCGAAGTTTGTTATTTATTAGATCATACCTACTGTTTAAAAGCTGTTTCTTGTTTCCATGATCATCATCACCAATAGAGAATTTACTGGATGTATTTAACAGAGGTTGTCTATGACTCATTTGATATTTATTTCAAGTATTCTGTAGTGAAAAATATTCAGGACAAATGTATTCATAGAGTGGTGTAAAGGAATTATTTATAGCAATTACATACGTATTATTTTTCTTATTTTTATATCTAAAGTTAATAAAACAAACTGTATAGAGTAATAGGCCGTAAGACATAATAAGCATGACACCTTCATCTTTATATCGGCGCAAATCGAAACAGAACACAAAAGAAAAAAAGTAATGCAGAAGAGAAAAAGAATATGAAAAGAAAGAGAAAAAGAATAGGAAAGAAAGAATAAGTATAACAGAAGAAAAATATAACAAAGAGAATGTAAGATAAAAAGAGGTATATAGATGCACATGAAGATATTTAGTTATCCAAATCAACCCACTTAAACAGTAGACACTAGTGCCTCTCTTTCTATTTTCTCACTGTTCTCATCCGAAACAAATGATGAAGGTTAGCTCCTTGACTTTTGTTGAAATCGTCCCAAAAAATACATCATGATAGAAGAGAGATCGTTCTAGATCAGACTTGTGCGTTTGCTTTAACCATTTAATCCATTTTCCTCTCTCATTCTCTTCTCATAGCGATTCCAGAAGAGCCACTAATAATATAACTTAATAAATAGAGTATAAGCCTCTTGAATATAGCGATGGAGCGGTCTAATCCTACGAATGCTTCAACCCTAGAGTAGAGCGGTTGGGTCCATCTAAAAATCATGTGAGGGAGAAAGAGAATTGAACGACATTAGAAGACTTAATTCTTCTTCTTTGACGACATTATTGAGTGGGCATTGAAGTAATGGAAAAAATGCTGTAAGTGAACCAATGAAAATTAACATCGAATAATACATGTGTTTTTTTACACCTATTGTCAAATTAAAGCCTATTTTGCTCTGAGCCATTTTATATCATCTGATGAAACGTAACTCATCATAAATACTATTTCCACTTCCCATGAGTTAAGGTTTTTCAAGCATATAATAAATTTTTTCTTGATTATCCTCCATTAGCCTAGTAGTGATTACATGGTGAATGATGTTTCTTAGCATATGTAACTGGTGGAGTTATCATGAAACTTTCTAAACACATTTTATTGTGATCAAGGGAGAGGGAGGTAAAAGGTTAGTCTTTTTTTTCTGTAACTTTTAGCGTAAAAATCTAATGGTTCTTCATTTGCTACCGAAAACAAATTACGTTCTGACACATGCGGACACCGATGCACCAATCTCACTCGAATTCGAAACTTCGGTCTCAAAGTTTCTTGATTATTTTTTGGCATAAAAAGAAATACAGAAAAAATTTAGGCAACATGCAAAAGACTATAAGTAACCACACATGCTCATAGTATTGGAGTTGACAATAGTTTTACTGTTTTTGTAACCATTTCAATCTTCGACGAGACCTCTAAACACTATCTATATATTTGTTAGTGGCTGATTCCAGTAACAGCTTACTAGTCCCAATAATACATAGATATTTAAAGAACTGCAATATTTCCCGCTTTTTCTTATACATAAGGATATTTACTGGAGACATTTTTACTTGACAGTGCAAAATTTCGCCGACGGCCTTACTAATATTTATTGACTGTTTCCATTTCTTCGAATAAGTTGAAAACTGACTATATGTTGTTGTTCCTTCGTTCTCCAAATATTCAATCATAGACCGGAATTTCGATGTGAGAAGAGACCGTATCAGAACATTCAGATTTTTCGTAAAAAGCGTGTACCAAGTGAGAATTTAGACAAGAGATAAGATCACAATGAAAACTAATAAATAGATAGCAACTTAGGTTACTGCCTTATGGGAGGCCACTGTAAATATTGAAAATATTCGAACTTTCACCTCTAAAACCTACATAAGCTCGTCTGTCTTTCAGATATAATATTATAATTTTAAGCATGGTCAGCGATATAGTCATTCCATATAACTTAACTAAAAGTGCTTTTCATACCTCACATTGTCATACGCTTTATGATACCTCACATATAGAGCAAGTGTTGGTACATTAGATGCCATGTTGTTGCCCACTTGCTGCTAGATAGAAAGAACTCCAACAGAAAAAAGACATCCCGGACGAAAGTCGAATCCGTCTGATGACACTAGTTGATTTATTTCTACCCAATGTTTTCTCGATCCAGTATAACTTTCTCAAAACGTTTTGAATGTGCAGCTAGAAGAGAAGATATAGGTAAGTGTTGCAATCGGTACCGGAAAACTGCTCCACTGGTCTCGATTTTTGTCTATTTTTTCTTTATATTACCATTCACTATGTGCCCATTTTTTGCGAAAGAAAATCGTAGAAGTATTTATTTTTGCATAATAAACTAGCTTTTCTGGTATCCATGATGATTTCTATGCCAGAGCTTGAAATAGACTGTTCAGTGTGGGCTGTAGATGTGGATTCAAATGCTCACTTCAATCTACAATCACGTCTCACATCCGCATACACACGCCACATCCACACTCACACAATATCAGGTCTCATGTAATTCAAAGTTTTTAGTATTTTCAAAATACCACTTACAAGTCAGTTCCAAACCCTTTCGCAGATCAAATTTAGGATCATAATGAAGAATCATTTTTATCTTTTCAATTGAAGCTTGTGAATGTGGGACGTCACCATTTCGTTGTACACTGTAAATTGGCTCAATACTTCAAATGAGCGGGTCGAATGAAGCAAGACCATTGCGTATGATTGAAAACAATTCGTTCAATGTCGTGCGAAAACCTAATGCCACATTGAGTACTACCTTAACTCGTGTTATTCTCGGTATATGACCTCCAGCATTTAATCGCTCTAAGATATCGATTGTTGGAGTAAGCATCGCCAATTCGTTGGCATGTACGACATTGCCAATGGAGGTAAAATCGCGGGAATAAGTCCCGTCACCATTGATGATCGGTCGCTCATGTTTGATTAAACTGTTCATCCAATGGGGGATAACTGCCGCATAAGGACCATTTGGATTTTGCCGCTCCCCATAGACATTAAAATAACGCAAACCAATAGTTTCCATGTCGAATAAATCAGTAAAAAGTTGAGCGTACAGCTCGTTGACATATTTAGTAATAGCATAGGGCGAGAGCTGATTGCCAATATTATCTTCGAATTTTGGTAATTCCTTTAAATCACCATAGACCGATGTTAAGGATGCATAAATGAATCTTTTTATGCCGGCATCCCGTGCAGCGATGAGCATGTTCAAGAAACCATTGATATTGACCGAATTGGTTATAATCAGATCGTTGATCGAGCGCGGCACAATACCAAGTGCAGCTTGATGTAGAACAAAGTCAGCATCTTTCACAGCCTTACGGCACGTTTCAATGTCGCGGATATCACCTTCGATCAGTTGAAACGATGGATTGAGAAGAAATGGTTCAATATTATGGCGAAACCCCGTAGAAAAATTATCCAAGCAGACCACTTCATGAGTATTGAGAAAATGTTTGCAAAGATTTGAACCGATAAATCCAGCCCTACCCGTAATTAATATTTTCATTTTGTATCTAAAAAGCAAAACGAATGCGCCGAAGTTTACTGTACAAGCTACACTAAATATCGGAAAGAACTTTTCTGTTTCGATTGATTGATCATTAAGAAACCATCTGAACTGTAGAATGTTCACTAAATTTAATTGCTGTTCTGGCTCATTACTACAATCTGTCGAAGTACCTTCACTGATCCTCATGAAAGGCGGAGAAATAGCTATTGTATTCAACCGCACATCGTACAAAATGAAGTTCGAATCTGCAAATTTCCTCTTAGTAAGAAACTCAATTAATTCAAGTATTAGTATCTCTTGAATGAATATAAATTCATTGCTGTTCTACTTTATTGGCTATTCTTTTCTACAGAGTTCGGAGCAAATCAAGAATTGTTAGTCTAACGAGGGAAAATCCCCAACTATCGAATACCATATCAGCCCATAGTTTGGCGATGAGTAGGACTCAACGAAACTGAGAAAATTCTTAAAGAGTTTGGACCCATGTTTTGCCTAACCAAGTAGATTTTTCAACAGATAAGTCTTATGGCTAATAGAATATCGTAAAAATTTTGGCTCAAATGAATGTATCTTTTTTGAGATATCGAATATCCAAAGAATGTGAATATATCATACAACAAGCCATAGAATCTAGTTGTTTTAGACACTTGATATCTAAAAAAAGATATATTCTTTTGAGTGAAAATTTGTACGATATTCTATTAGTCATAAGACCTATCTGTTGAAAAATCTACTTGGTTGGGCAAAACATGGGTCCAAACTCTTTAAGGATTTTCTTAGTTTCGTTGAGTCCTAATCATTGCCAAAATATGGACTCAAATGATGTTCGACAGTTGGGGATGATCCCTTTTAAGTATGAAAACTTGTTGAACAATCTTTTCAGTAGTTCTGCAGCTTAAAGATTAAAATTTGTCTGTAGAAATAATTCAATGCTTTTTGCAAATCGACATTGTAATCCAATAAATCACAAGCGTTCATCTACCATATCTTTTGGTAATAGTCCTTTGACATCATAAATGACTTTACTTGTACTTGACATTGACGAAAAATCGTACGATTGGAACTCGCGATGAGCCACAGCAATAATCACTGCATCGTATTCATCAATAACAATTCTTTCATTAATCTTTTTGAATTCGTCTATCGATTTTAAGCGAATGCCATAGAGATTGTAAACATGTTGAGGATCAGCTTGCGTGTCAACAATGTCTACCGAACAACCAAAGTCTTTCAATTCTTTAATGATATCGATTACTTTTGAATTCCGAATATCAGGACAGTTCTCTTTAAATGTAATTCCCAGGATTAATATTGAAGAATCCTGTATTGAAATACTTTTTCGAGTCATTATTTTTATAACTCGAATGGCAATATATTGCCCCATGCTGTCGTTTATTCGACGCCCCATAAGAAGTATGTCTGGATTATAGTTAAGTTCATATGCTTTATAAATCAAATAATAGGTATCAACACCTATGCAGTGACCACCGACCAAGCCCGGCTGATATGATGAAAAATTCCATTTTGTTCGGGCTGCTTCTAACACGTCATTTGTATCGATATTCATCAAATGGAATAATTGTGAAAGTTCATTGACAAAAGCTATGTGGAGGTCGCGTTGTGCATTTTCAACGACTTTGGCCGCTTCAGCCACTCGAATGGATGATGCTATAAACGTGTCTGCCTTGATAATTTCTCGGTAGAGTGAATTAATTTCCTGACTTATGGCAGGTGTCGAACCTGAAACGATTTTGCATGTATTAGTCAGTCGATGTTCCTTGTCACCAGGATTGCTACGTTCAGGAGAGTAGCCACAGAAGAAGTCAGCATTGAATTTCAGTCCACTGATTCTTTCCAAGACTGGGACACACTCATCCTCTGTTACACCAGGATATACGGTTGACTCGTAGATGATAATATCATCCTTTTTTAAAACTCGTCCAATCATTTCAGATGATTTGAGCAGCAATGATAAGTCCGGATGTTTATTTTTAAGAATTGGAGTTGGGACAGCGACAATAAATATTTGTACTTCGCGAAGATCATCCAAGGATGAAGAATATTTCAAAAATTTCGCCTCTTTCAAGTCATCCAATGAGCATTCACGAGTACGATCATGACCGGCTTCGAGATCATGAATACGATCTTCATCGATATCAAAACCAATGGTCGGACGACGTTTTCCGAATTCGACCGCTAGAGGGCAACCTACATATCCCAAACCAATAATAGCAATATTTTTCATCTGAAAAAGTCTGTTTAGCACACCCATTGTTAGTACCGAGATATTCTCCTGACATAATAATGTAGTAGTTGCCAAAGAAAAAACAGATTCTAGATTTCTCAGCTAAGTTTGCATTTTCGGCCTTCTTTGAATTATAAGAGGTTTCTTGAAAACGAGAATAGGAAAAAGTAATATTGTATTAAGTTTCTAGCTTAATCTCCATGGAAATAAAATGTGAAGTACAATGAATGCATTCAACTAATTAATGCGAGTCCTAGAATATGGGAGTGGATTAAAAGAAGACGCACACTCGCACCACCACACGCTCACACCCTTGCTACTTTTGTATATGCAACTAATTCTGCTCACAGCTTCACTCAGGAGATGTATCCTATGTGTGCTTCCGATCTCATATTCATTTTTAGAAAAACAACAGAATTGCCTCTTAAGTATCGGTATGTTCATATCTCACGTACATAGATGCCATGCGTCAAGATAGAATGTGCTGTGTTTGACTTTGCATTGCAATGCAAAAAACAGACAGTAAAATGCTTCGCACTGCTCATCGCACTGCTCATTGCACAATGCTGAAGCGTGAAAAGAAAAGTTTTTTTTCAAACAGCGATTTGAAACAGTGAGAGTCAAAGCTTCAGTTTACATTGGGTGTGAGATGTGGCGTGCGAATGAAAATAAGCCCCATTCCCACACCCAAAAAAGGCACAAATCGATTGTCAGGCATAGTGGTTCAAGGAAAAATGCTTCACTAGATATCGAATACTAAGCTGGAAGAAGTACCATGAGAAAGAGTGCATTGTGTTACATATTGTGATAAAAAATTTTACTCATGCATTGATAGTAAACAATTTCATAACACAATAAGAAATCATTATTTGCAGCAATGCCACTCAATTAGGGCGGTATTTGACGTTTATCGACACCAAAACATTTAAATATATAATTAGTTCTTGTAGATTCTAATAGAAAAAGAAACTGTGAACCATATGAACACATTTTTCATGAATCTAAATCAAAAATTAATGCACTTTCAGGTCAGAAACTACTATTTAAGGCTATCAAAAGGTATTTGAGATCTTTCTCATTGTCTGAGTACTTTTGCAAAACATATGACATTTAAAATCAGGACATCTAGCACCAGCGCACTATGCAGACTTATAATAGAAGGGCGATAAAAAGTTTCTTTCGAAACCTGAGAGAGAAGTCAGATATAAAAAGAATCGAGTTGTAATAAAATACAAAATAAACTTTCGAAAAATAATCAGGTCTCAATGTTGATTATCACCATAATGATACTTGACTGTGTTGCTTCTCAAGCATCGCAAAGTAGTGAACATAAATTATTGATTAAATACCGCTAAACTACGATTGAAGTAGAAATGAATTAAAATGGACTATAATGGGTTGCATGTGTAGTACAGGGGAGTATAGGTGAAGTACACACAGTGTTGAAAAGAATCATCGGCTTAATGAGAAGAAAAAAGAAAAAAATAATATTAGGCTAAACTTTCACATGCAAAAATTTAAATCAATCTCAAGCCTATCGTGCCTATCCACACAGAAAATATAACAGATTGAAGTCACTCGTAACTATCTTACGCTTTGCTTAGGAATATGAAACATTATGATTTCATGTTGATTGCTTCTACTATAGTCTAAAGATTTTTATTCTCACTTGTATTTTCATTACTATATGACCCAAAGTATATGGCATATTGACTTTGAGACTGTGCTATAGGACACGAAGCTTCTCACATTCGTCCTTATGGCTTAAATATTTTACTATATGCTGATAGTTCAATGTTCATTCGGTAATTAATCAAAACTAATAAATTAATAAGTGTGAAATAGAAGCAGAAAAGAGTGAGTGAAGAAGACTATCAAATAACAAATATTGATCTTTCGATCTTCGAAAAGAAGAGTCGATATTGAGATCTATTTCATATCTATCTCAATAGTATCTAACGTACACATCTTACAGATGTAATATGTGGGTTACCTCACAGACTTATTTCAAGTTTTGATATTATTGTAATAAGTTACTCACCACAAGGAAATTAATAAAACCGAATAATTATATGGAAGAAAAATTATATCCACGGTCTGTTAATTAAACTTGCTGTTATGTATATAGTTGTTTTACTTGTTTTATCGAATGATTCTTCCTTTTACCTTTGCAACAAGGTCACTTTACACGTTGTATATGGTTTGTTATTTTTTTCTTGATTTTTTCTCGTATTTTTTATTTTTCTTTAGTTGGATACGCTGTCACAGACGAGTTTACACAAGATGCGCACAGAAAATTGCATATAATAAAATATATGCACAGAATCCTATGCTTGGGTGATTTGTAAAAAGTGACTGTTACTTACAAAATAGAAACAACAGATTTATATCTGAAAAGGTATCGAAACGCAGAATGAGCTAGAAAAAATCAAAATATTGTTTATTTTCAAACTCGTCATATTTCATATTCATAGATATTCCCTAGACTGAAAGGATAGGGTCTAGAAACCGTAATTCACTTGTGTCTGTCTGTGTCTGTCCATCTGTTCGCCAACTTAACCGTGATCTTGGCACAATTGACTATTTTCTTGGCACAAATGACCATTTTTTCGGCAGAAATGACCTTGTTCTTTGGCACAGTTGACGATCTCTGTGGCACATATGACCATTTCCATAGCACAAATGACCATCTCTGTGGCACTAGTGATCATTTCTATGGCAGTTATGACCATTTTCGTGACATAAACGACGATTTCCATGGCAAAAAACTCTATATGCCCATAAACGGGTCTGAAGGGATATATTGCTGTTTTTACAAGTAACTGTATGAAGAATGAAATGCAACTAAAGCAAAGCACAAGCATAATGCATATATAACTGTAAGCAAAG